TAAATCATGTTTTTATTAAGTACTCGGTATCGGCGAGTACTGAAATGCAAGTACTCGTACTCGTTTCCAAAAAAGTGGTATCGGTGCATCCCTAGTAACAACTGTAACTTGTTGCTTCTGAAAGAGATCTACAGTTATGACAGGATGCAGTTTTTAATCCTTACTGTGCACTGCTCTAACTGTTTCTCGAGTGCCTCAGAGTCTCCAAGAGCTGGCCATTCCTCATTCAGGAAGACATCGACATCTTCCATCCACTTCTTTAAAGTCTTTACGTCATTCTGACAGAGACAGAAAGTAGAAACAATAGAAAGAAATCTACAGCATCTGATGAAGTCCAACTGTTCTGTTTCTTTATATTAAGAACATTACTTCAAGAATTATTTTAGCTTTAATGCAAACATTTAAAAAGCTCTCCCGTTTACCTCAAACTGCATCAGTTTGGCCATGAGTTCCTGTATTCTTTGGGCGCTGTCTGTCAAAGTGGAGCCCAGTCGTCTCCAACGCCCCATGATGGCATCCATCTCATTGCGATACCTACACGCACACAAAATAAATAAATGTTTTCTATGCGTACATCTTGAATCATTCTCAATCAACTTTCTTGTTGATTAAGAGCGCTGGTACTCCTTCTTTTTCTTTTTTGCCTGTCCTGTCTGGCAGTGAAGCAACCAGAATTGTTGTCTGAAGGCCAAAAAATGTACAACAGAATGGGACAAGTGGACCATTATGGCCTTTGCTATAATGATCCATGTGATAGTCATATTTTATTAGATGTTCATTAGGATTTTTATTTTGAGTTCCTACAGTAACAACAGGCATGGCCGGGGATGGAAAAGAAAGAGATCAAAGACAGAGAAGCTGGAGAGAACAGAGGGAGAGAAAAGTGGAGAAGAAGATCGGCTTCAATACCTGCTGAAACAAACAAAAGCAAACAAACAAACAGAGCAGGGAGCAGAAACAGGGTCTCCAGAGGGCCTCCTTCACAGAAGTGAAGAATGACTGTTCTTCTTCTGCTAATGGGAACGTTGGTGGTTCACTTCCTGGCTGCATCAGTCTGCATGGCAAGTGTCCTCGGTGAGATACTAACCCCGAGTTGCTCTCTGATGCATCCGCTGGAGTGTGAATGTTAGATATAAAGTACTTAAGCGTAGAAAAATAAGTGCTGGTGTGAATGGGTGAATGTGGCATGTTGTATAAAGCGCTGTGAGTCCTTAGGTAGAGTAGAAGAGCAGTATAAAAGAAGCAGTCCATTTAGCATTACTGCTCTGATCTCTGCAGAGGCATACTTTGACCGATCTCCTCTCTCAGTTCTTTACCTCTTAAAACTAGCAGCTAAACACAAACTATTAATAAACGGGAAATGTTTTAGTTAACAGCAGCTATTTTTTCAGAAGCAATGAAACAAATTAGCATAAAGTGCTAAATCTCTAAGAAAAACTAAGGAGTGTAGAGAGCCTGAGCCTCTGCAAAGATGGCTGACAATCTACTTCCTGCTACATGGGCACTGGGATCTGCAGAAGTGACACACCTTAGTTATTTGCATTGCACATATTCATCTCTTACTTCTGACTGACATCTGGTGGTGCTTTCTGGAAGACCAGCTCCACAGCTGAAGTCAGGTAGTTCACATCCCCCTGGTGTTCAGCCAGAGCCACCTGGAGAGCCTGAGGAGTAGCAGAGCGACAGTATGGTAAGTCCTAGTCTGTCCCATCTATTTACATACATATAAACTACATGCTGTCAACTAATGTTTGCTCTAAGAAAACATAAACGTTAAGTTAATCAAACAAGGAACATCATTAATATTATATAATGTTCCTGTGCATACAGTCAATTTAAGCACTTTACAATAAATTAGTCACTCAGTGCTCATGAATCATGTTTGCTAAATCTTTTGGCAGAAACGAAGGAAAACATGTCTCACAATGTGATGGAGCCAAAATGATTTGGGCAAAAATTCTTTTAACTTGTTTCCTTATACAATACTCACTGCATTAACATTTAGTAACAGAAAGCTTTTTGTAGGTTTACAATTTATTTTCTGCCATGAAAAATGAATTTCAGCTGAATAAGTGACGATGTTTCTGGTGCACTTAAGATTGGAGGTGGAAAGTGGACGACCAGGGTGGCTCAGAGGTCAGCTCTCAGTTTTAAGCCCAGGATGAGAAGAAAGACAAGAAGCAAAGGAAGGAGAGAAGCAGGAAGCAAAGCCCCCATACAGGTCAAACAACCCGTGTTCCAGTGGATATATCCCAAACTTCATTTTCTTCCATCATATAAAACATTCACTATATACAAGTAATTTCTTCTTCTCTTCTTCCCCAATTTCCTGATTGGGGAACATCCATAAATTACCACTACTTACCACCCACTGCATCAAAATCCCCAAATCAGTCATGACATTTAATAACAGAATCAGTGATGAGGGAATCCTGCAATCCAGACTTTCATCATTTCAACTAGCTGTGCATAACAATGATCATCTCTCTTCAAGCTGTCATTTAACTAATATTGTCTCAAGTTATATTTTTCAGTGGGAGAAGAGTTAAATTTCCACATGACAGCAGCACACATCATCTGCAGAGAGCAGACCTGTACATGTGTGGATTTCCTGTCTTTATATATGAGAAGAAGGACACAGAAGATGAATTTCTCTATATAATTATCCATTCTTTAGCCTATTCCAGCTCATTCACATTTGTACCTATGGGCAGTTTAGAATCCCCAGTGCATGTCTTTGGACTGTGGGATAAAG